GTGGCGGTGGCCGGAGGTCCTGTGGGCGGACCAGAGCAACATTCGTTGTACTACTACTAGCACTCGTCTGAAGGAGTCGATCCAGGTCTTGGCTCCATGCGTCGGATGCAGGCACAGCATCTTGTAGCTTCCACCCGGTCGCACTTGCCGTCCACGCCGACGGCATGGGCGCGAGCACTGGTTGGTACGGGAAGGGCGTGGTCGGCGGTGGCACGACCGGCGTCACGTGCACCGCCAGCGGACTGCTGCTGCTCGGTGGCGGTAAAATGGCTTTGGTCGTCGAGCGCTCTCTGCTCGAGTGGCGTGCATACTCTATGTAGTCGGTCTTCTTGTCGCCATACCTCAACGCTTGCTCGGCCGCGTACTCTCGATCGCGCTGCTCCTTGCGCAGGCGCACGCGCTCGTAGCCGGTGCTGATGGCCTTGATGCTCGCCGTGTGGGCTGCATAGAGATTCTCGAGCGTCCCCGTGAGGACGAAGAGCGTCTTCTGTGGGAGGTTGGGCACGCTCCTGAGCACCTTGGCCTCGACGCGAAGCTCTTGGTACATCGCCGACATGCGCGAGTTGTCGACGTCCATGACGTCACGGTCGAGCAAGACGAGGCGGAGTGCATAGACGAGGCGACTCGGGTCCGCTGGCAGCGCCTCATAGGCAGCCTGCACTTGGTGGAGCCGATTGCAAGCGGCCTTGACGTTGTCGGCCGTGCCCGTAATGTGCAGCCGCCGCATCGGCAGTGCCATGACCATCTCCTCGACCTCTTTGATGTAAACGCGCGTGTGCGTGGCGCTTGCGACTTGCTGGAGGCGCGCCGACGCATGCTCCAAGAGGTACGCCGCAAAGTCCGATCGAATATGCACCACCGACTTGTCGTGCATGTACTTGACAGTCTCGAAGGTTGCCGTGTACTTGTCGCGCAGGATCTCCTGTATGCGCGCCACGAGCACATGCATGCCATCGTCGATCTGGCGCGGCGTGCCCGAGACGCAGAGGATGCGGCAGTCCTTGTACACGTGGGCGTCGACGAGGTACATGAGGCAGCTGGCAGACCGTGCGAGCTCCTTGAGCTCCGTGCCCGAGCGCGCGTTGAGGATCTGGGCCACGTCGCCGGGCACGAGCATGAACGTCTTGGTGTACGACTTGGCCTCCCCCATGCGTTCGGTCGCCACCGCAATAAAATATGGAGTTGCGTTTCTCTAGACTCGCCCACCCACCGCCAGCCAGTGTTTCAACACAGCGGTCCATACACTGTCTCCGACACATTGACGTCAGTGAACAAAGCTCCGACGTCATTAGCTCTGGCTACAGGTATGGCGTGGCTGTCTGAAGGCGAGAGGCCACCGCACCTCGCTCCTGGGCGACAGCACTG